ACTGCTCTTTAACATAAAGGATCATCTGACATGGGGTTCATGATTCCAGTGTGAGGATTGGTATAACACGAGTGGGTTTTACAGGAGACAAAAATATTTCTGTAATTTCATCAAAACTATATTCTTGGCCCTGATCTAAGTGTGCCTTGTCTATATTTTTTTCACATTCCAGTTCTATTTTTTTTATTTTTAAATGTAGTGTTATTTTTCCCTGTCAAATATCTGAGCATGTATTTGTCAGCTGACATGAGTTGTTAGCAATATTTGTGTTTCAAAAAGAGCACCAGAAACCTTTGCTGCCCTCAGAAGATTCTCTCAATCTCACCTATACTATACTCAAATATTAACATATTTGCTGCAGATGTTCTTTTACATGTCAGTTAGTAAAAACAGCCTGCAAGGTTATAAAGCTTCATTCTTCTGAAAAATAAATGAAAGAACAGAAGCAGGTAATCTCTGACATGTCACAGTAAAATGATATGTATGCTCCAGGAGATTAAAATTCTGCTGTGGCACTGGGGCATTCTCTTGAGTGTACAGTACAGTTTAAAAAGAACACTGCAACGTCCATGGTTTTATTCTTAAATGTATTTTTAAAATGCAGTTAAATAATCTACCCACTTGTTATGTATAAAGGTGGAATATTTTGTTAGAAAAACATTAATTAAATAAACATAGATGTCAGCCCTAGAGGTCTGTAGCATCAAGTTGCTACTGAGACAAACACAATGTTTAATCTCTGGAGATGTCAGTTTTTAGCAGCATTTATGAATTAGTTCTAGAAGTTTGATATTATTGACATCTCCACAAGCAAAACACATGAAAACTTTCAAGCACATGATTCTTGGCTTAATTTAAGCTCTCCAGGTTCTGTTCTGAAAAGCGATAAAGCCAAAGAACTGGTGCTAAATTAATGGGTGAACTGCTGACACTCAAGAGTATAATAAGGGTTTCTGGGTCAGGTTATTTCAGAAAAAGTAAAACTGGTTTTTGTGTCTTTTCTGAAGAAGCAGTATCAGCACTCTGAACTGTGTATCATGCTTAAACCAGACTTTCCCTTGAAGTCTTACACAGACTTACAGTCTGCTTTGAGTTTTCTTTTTTTTTTTAATTTTTACTCCTAGCAGTAGTTGGTTTTTTGTAACTTAGCTGTGATTCAGTTGTTTTCCAAGTGCTTATTGCTAGCTGTTAAATTCTGTCCTTCCTATCATCACATGCCTTCAAAGTAACTTCTTGACAGTTGATGGGACATCTATATTCAGTGAAAGATTTTTCTTCCCCCCTCCTCCCTTTTGCCTGCTCTAGAATCTATTTAAGAGCAAGAGTTTGGCTCAAGGGCACACAGACAAGTGTTAGGAGTGGTGGGTGTAGCTTGATTCTGTATGACATGGTACAGAATATACTTCTGTATTACTGTTTCTTGTTAATGGAACATCTTTTCAGGTGGGGAGAACTGAATGAAAATGGCAAAGAAACTATTGTATGTCCCTCTACATAAACATTCTTTTTTCAGTCAGTCTTCTGAGTGCTAAACCATGATTGCTGTGTCTAGCCATCAAAATGAAACCTTTTGTGATTGGGTTGTACTCTGTCATCTGGCTTTTGTGCAGAATTGCTTGCATGAAAAAACATTATCATTGCTAAACTGGAAGCTCTTGAGACGTAAATACTGCATTTTCTTAAGTACTGCAGTATTCTGCATGTATACAGTTCTTCAAATTATTTGTGCAAGTGAACTTAATGGGATATTAGTGCTTCCATTAGTTTCTCTCTCAGCCTTTCTACATCAAGCATAATTTTAATTATGTACTTGAATGACATTTTACATTTGGGAAGAGGGATTTTATAGTAAGTGTCATCGGCCCATTGATAACTTTTCTGTTTCATTACTTTACTTCCTCTCTCAGTAAATAACCTAACACCAGTTCATTGTTTGGGTCTCAGTAATCCTGTTTGAAATTCTGGATTGTGATATTGTGCTTCTTAGAGTTACTAAAAGGAAAAAAGACAATACTATTATCGAGTCTGTGGTTGAATATACTGTTGAAGATGATCTCTGAAGCAATATAAAAATAGTTTCAGCTGGACATGGGGTAAAATAGTAGTGTCTTAAAGCTCTTCTCTGTTACTTCTCTAATAAACACATTTTAGGGGGAGTGGATGTAAAATCTTGTGATCTGAAGAATGTTTGGTTTAAGAATTTAATTATGGTAGCGCTATTGCCAAAAATCTGTGTTTGAACTATGTCAGTGACTAATGGGAAGGTAGTTATCTATATTTTTAATTGAAACCTATTGTCCCCTGTCAGATCTGTTGTAGAATAAAAAGAAAAAGTTTGTTTCATGAAGACTGTTGGCAGTGGCTTTTGGGTTGTTTTAGTCCACATTTACTTGATATGTTCTTTTATAGCTATGTCAGGGATTTGTCTTATTTTAAAGATATGGATAGCTTATTACTTGTAAAGCCTAACTCACATTGTGTGCATATGTACATGCCTGCATGCTAGTGATACAAATAGATTCATGGGACATATCTCAAAGTGCTAGAATTTGTTTTTTAAAGAAGTATGGTTTTTTGATGAAATGAATATAAATTATGTGGCTTAGTGTCATGAACAGTTTTGAAGAGCAGAACCATTATACTTTTTTTTTCCAGTCTCAATTACAGTACATAAATAGTTGTGTGTACATGTTTCCAGGAGCAAAAAGTATGGTCAGCATTAAAAAACGAAACAGCTAAATTCCTCTGTTCCATACTGTCTAGCTGTTTTGCTTTCTTCTTATTTCCAGTTGTGCATTTCGTTGCCTTGACATCCCCAAGCAGTGGATTCACACTTAAATTAAGGCCTTGTATTTTGATCACACTTCTGAACTGGAGGCCCTTCAAGTCTGCTCAGACAGTTGTGTCTCCTTTTTTCTGAAAATGCCTGGACATCTTCTCTGCAGATACTGCCTATCGGTGGTTTTGGTTAGGCTGCCTTCTCCTGTCAATAAGCTCTGGAGCAGGAAAGCAAGTAGGAGGTTTTGTAGGTTATGTAAGTTACCCTCTTCAGTAGTTACAATTTTCTTTTCCTGTCAAAAAGATTTATGAAACCATGCTAATTGCAAATAATTTTGAGGTTTTGTAGAGATATTCTGTTCCATTATTTAATATTGATTCAAATGTGGCTGCTGATTTATTAATACATTAAAAATGAACCTGGTTAAAAGTACTTGTGCTACTTGGATGTAGTCTTCTCTTAAATTTCTAAGCAGTGGCCATCTATTTCATAGGAAACTTGATCCTAATTCTGCTTTGGCTTTTTGCACTCTGTAGCACAAGAAATGGGGATGTCATAGCATTTTTGGATATAACTTTTTCTTTTTAAATACTGAGTTCTTAATGTTTTACATAGGAAAATTCAGTAGGATGGGCTGTCTGATCTGATAGACTTTAGTTTTGTGCTGTCTCTGTCTTTGCATCTTCAGTTTGCTACATACTTTATGTGCAAAAAAATTTAAGTATTTTTGAGGACACTGTTAGAAAAAATTGCAGGGGTGTCTTCTGCTTAAATAACCAGTTATTATCAATATTGATGTCTTTAAACTGTCCTCAATAGTGCTTCAGTTTATATTAATTCAGTTTTAATGGTTCCATGTAATTTTTTAGTCTGAAATCTTCTTTGTAGCTATAACAGCTACTGCAGATTCCTTGTTTTTATTTCTAGCAGTTCACTATATTGTGTATATATTCACAGAATTTTTCTTAAGTGCCTTGGGAAAGTTTCCTGTCCCTCTTTGAACATTTGTTTCCACCTAACAGTCTGGTTTTGCTGTGTTTATTCTGTGGCCTGTGGCTAAGGCATGTTATGTTAGTTGAGTGCTGGAAGGAGCTGTGCTGATGTTTGCCATGTGCTCGTTTACTCGTGCATGATTTTTTTTTTTTGTCTGCTTATTTTTATGCACATTCAGTCTTGCCATCTCATTGTGTTATTTTTCCAAACCTGGATCTGTCTGCTTATTGGAAGTTTTGCATTGGAGTCATGCTAACATAGAACATTTATCTTGGTTGATCTTGTGGCAAGCAAACTCTGCAGTTGGCTTTGTTTTTCTAAATGATGGCCTTTCATTTATTTATTTTTAAAGGAAGTCTTTTTAATCTGCATACCATCTATGTCTAATTAAAGCTTCCCCACGGTAACATTCAAGTGGTTCTTGCTTCAATGATGCTGAATGGTTTCATATAAACCATGAAGCCATCCTTTATCTGATGAAAAGATTGTAAAACAAATACAGAAGATTTTTACTTACGTCTTTTTAGCATGGATTGATTTGCTGTTGCAGCTTTAACTGTGCCACCCTACTGGTTCTGGCTAGGGATGAGTTCCTGAGGTGTTTGGACATTGTTCTGTTTTGAACATGGTTGCTCCATCTAAGGAGGCAGAAATGTGGCCTGCAGTGTCACTGCTGCCATGTGCTGGAAGCAGCACTGTGGAAAGAGGGCTGATGGAAGTTCAGACTCTTCTGCCACTGCATTTTACAAATCTTCCATGAATTACTATTATGAGGTGCTTTTTAGTAGCAGCAGGCTAGTTATCTGTATCTGTTAGTACATGTCTACTAAGTGTATTCTATTAGCTATTTAGAACATGAGCCATGCTGAAGCAAGTGTCATCTTCTCTTGTTCAACCAGAATATTATTAAAATACTGTCAGTATTTAAACTGTTGTATCTTTTTCTTTTTAGTGTGATTAAGGGGCTAAGCCAGAAAGGCCTGATTTTAGCTGACAAAGTGTCAGTGAGCACACTTAGAGACAGTTCCTTAACTTGTGTAAACTACACTCTTACCACTATTTTTCATGAAAACATTATGCCTTATTTGAGAGTTCATTGTGTGTGTGTGGTTCTTCTGCCTCTCCAGCTTCATTGTAGCATCAGAAATACAACAAATAAACTGATGCTTTGAGTGTAACTAATTACTGCAGAATGTTAATTATGACTCCTCTTCATTTGTTTCTGCAGAATGACAGGAAGGGAGTTTTTCTCTCGGTTTCCAAGTCTTTATCCTTTCCTTCTCAAGCAGTTAGAGCTTGTAACCAGCACTTTGAACAGGTAAGATGATGTCTAAAAAAACTTTGAGATAGAAAGTGAAGTGAAAAGGTTGTGTCACATAGACACCCTAGTGCCATTGTATACATCAGTGCTTCTTGAAATGATACAGTTCTAATGTTTTTGCTAAGGCTTTTTTCTTTTAACTGTGGCACATTGCATTAAGTCTCTGAAGATTGAACTACTGTTGACTAATTAAGAGTTGCTGTATTCTTAGGATCAGATGTTAAGGAACTTATGTTTTTCAGGGAAACAGAACCCGGGTGTTTGAGTGTCTCACATTTAACAATGAGGCTTCCCAGCATGTTTAAGTGATACGGGGTCATAGGCCTCAAGTAACACCACATGAACACTTTCCAGCCTGTGGCACAATGACTCTGGGGAAGGTCCTTGATCTTGTTTTAAAGACTCCACAAATGGTGGCTGAGAGCTACAATTTGATCAATGCAGATGATACCATTTGGGATGACGCTGTTACCTCCAGGTTCACGAACTTTTAAAGTAAACCAGTGCTGGCTTTGTTTTTTCTTAAAATGCTATGATATAAACTGTGGAAGTTGAGCAGCTGATTTATGGGTGAGGTTCAGCTGACTGTTTAATGGGCGTAGGAAGCAGGAGTTTCACCAGTCATTCCATGTTTTGCAGTCTCTGCTCTAGGAAAAGGGGTTATGTATGTTCTGCACAGCAGTCCACTCTACCTGATGTTACAAAAGGTGACAGTGTCATCACTGGCAAATTTTGGCAAGTTTTTCAGTTGAACAAGATTGAAAACCGCTGTCTGAAATATTGGTCTTGAATCCATTTTCAATGTGGATTAAGATTTGTATCTTATTATTAGTAGTTAAATAAATCAAAAAGTATTGATGTTAACTTGGTTTTCTGATTGTTTTTACTATATGAATAGTAGACCCTTGGTGTCAATGGCAAGAACTATTCTTTAGTAAAACATGTTATTTATTAAACACACATTTCCTTTCAAACTGATAGAAGTACCTTTTTTAAACCACCTTTTTGTAACTCAGATCTCTGATTCCTGGTTCATAGAGAAACCTTATCTGCGGGTTTTTAATATTTAAAAATGAAGGCAGCTCACCACTTGGGAATAAAGGAGGCTTGGAATAATGTGGGAAGGTGAGGGCAATACAGCCATGAGCGTCTTCATTAGAAGGGTCCCCTGCAGAAGAACTGAATGCCATATTTAGTCCCAGCAGGGTTTGCACTCCCATTCAATGATCAGCCTAGGATAACTCCTTGAACCAGAGATGCAGAATGCTATTTTGTGGGAAAGAGGCTTAAGTCTAGCATGAAGGAGGATGCTTCTTTTTTTTCACCAGATGCTTCTTACACCTTTTTATTTAGTGAAACTGAAGAGTTGAAAATCCATCCAAGCCTGTTTCTTTTGCTCTTAATCCTGGGAAGGCTGTATCCATCTCCAATGGATGGCTCTCACTCAGCGCTCAGCACAGCACCATTTGTCCCCTTTGTTATAAGGTAAGGTGATTTTGTAGTGGTTTCTAATGTGATGGGAGTTCTTTCTTGAATCTTCAGAATTTTTTAAATAAAATGCCTTGTTAAGCTTTTCTTCGGTTTTAGTCCTTAAAGGAATCATTAGTTGTACTTTCCTATATTATTATTGTCTTGGAGAATTAGAAAGAACTTAGGTAAATTATTGTATGACTTGTTTGAAAATCTTCATCTGCAAATGCTGTATGGCATCACTGCTGCCACTGAGAGGGTGGATTAAAACTGATGAGCTTGACAGATTTTAGCAATACAAGATTTTCTATAAAAGTTTCTGATGGGTTTTTTCAGTCCTGCAGAATGATTGCTTGCAATATTTAAATGTATTGTCTAATGTATAGATTTGCAGATGTATGTATGTATCTCTTTCCATATCCATCCATGAATATACATAGGTAGATAAAGATATGGATCTGTCCATCTAATGTGTTTCTAAGATGACTTTTCAAATATTTATACAATGTAAGTTTCATTTATATGGTGGTTACAAGAAGATATTCAGCAGACATTTTGCTACTCTGTATGCCTCCTGTTTGGGATTAGCAGCCTCACAAAGGGGTGAGAGCTGTAGGGTAGGGAGAAATGAGCATCACCAGTATTTGAGAGGAAGTCCTGCTATCTGTGTGAAAGCTTCAATGCAGTAGGGTGAGAAACTTCCATGCTTAATCTTGCTGGTCTGGTAGTGAAACAAGACAAGGTTGTTATCCTAAGATCTTTCAATTTCTTTTAAACTACTGTTTGTTAGAAAATAGCATCTCTGTCTGCCTCGTTTTCACAGCAGATGTGATGTATCTCTTGCCTTTTATGATTTTTTTATCAATTTTCAAGAACAAATACTAATTACAATTGTTTCTGAAAGGGAAAAAACCTGTAGTAGCAGTTTTTAAATACACTGTATTTAACAATAAAATATGTTTGGCTTTCTGCTGTATCTGAATCCTAATAAATGCTTTTTGGGGAAATGTTTAAAACTATTTGTTACAGTTGGCTCTGTTTTGATGCCTTTATTAATGCACTGGAAAATGCTTGTTTTGGTTTTTTTTTAATGCAGTGTTTCAGCATAATTTTGGTTATTGCCAATAGATTAAGTTTTGATAAGCTTTTGGTTACAGCCTTTTAGTTTTGTCATTTTTTCTGTTATGACCACTACTTTTTGCAAGGTACATACACCAGCAGAATAACTGTTCACAGTGACCTAGCTTATTGTCTTGAGGTTATTTAAATTCATTCAGAAGATGTGGAGGGAGAACCCTAATAAAATCTTTAAGCTAAGAACCTGGAATATTTAAGAGACCTGTACTGTTGGATGTACTTTCCTTTAAATGTATTCCTAAAGAGGAATGATGTGGCAGATAGACACAGTTTTCTGCATTTCCTTTCCATTGATTTTGGTAGTAAATGCTGGGGATTTAGCTGTAAAAGTAGCATAAAATTACTATGTATTTGTGACAAAAAGTTGTAGGTGGATGTACAGATGTGCATTTTCTGTCTCGTTACTTAGCAAAGTATTGAAATTTTTATGGTTGCCCAGGGACAATACCAAGGATTCTGCAGAGGTAAATATATTTATGATACAGCTCAGTTGCTAGCTGTATTTCTGTCTGCAATTCTTACACCCTTGTTCTTTCAATGCTATGGGTGTTTTCTGTTCGTTCTGACTGCATTTATTGGAATATGCAGGGATGATTTATCTTGGTAAAACAAATACATTGCTATTTTCCCTTCTATTTCCCTTTCTATTTTTCATTATGCAGTAGCAAATGAACAAAAATAAAATTGTTTCCTATTCATTTGGTTGTTCTTCAGAAGGTGGTAATGAAGTAACCTATTAGAGAGGATCAGAGGGTCTGGTGCCAAAGGCCCTGTGTACCAAGTCATTAAATTGTGTATATAAACTCTTTCTTTGAATTGCTTAGTGCAATGTTGTGTTCTGTAGCCTCTGCATATAGATATAATTACATGGTAGTCCAGTGCAATGATAACACGTTATTGCTATACCATACCATGCCTTACCATGAGATTTTTTATTTAGGATGGTGTGCCAATGTCAGGGAGGGATGCAGTGATGTGGTGAGGAGAGAGAAAAGGTGAATGTGACCCATACATGGTCTTAATACCCCTTCCAGGGCTGAGCTTGCAGGGAAATGACATTCACTTGTTGTGCTGAGAAGATGAACAGAATATTGTGTTTGCAAGCAAGTGAGCAGTTCTGTGAACAAAACTGGGTTGAGCAGAAAGAATTTAAGTTGGGCTTTTGAAGAGTTTCTCTTAAGCTTGAGTGGAATTTTCCATCTAGTGGGAGTAGAGCTGTGGTTGCTCTGACCGTGCCGAGTTGAATTGCACAATATGAGCAGGATTAAATGCTGCAAGGACAAATCTCAATCTCTGTGCACATAGTTGTTACTCCCTGTTGAACTAGGGCATTTGATTACCTATCTGCAGTTCTATTAAGCTATTTTTCCCCCTGCAGATGTTTTATTTGGAAGGGAACACTTTGATTCACAACTTATTACCTCACTTTTTATTTTTTTCAAAGAGCTAGATAGTTCTGTTTTAATGGTTACTTTCTAAGATGAAAGAATGTACAGCATGTTTTTGATTAACAAGGGAGGTAATTGGGAGGTAATGTTTTAAGTATGAAACAAAAACATAACCTCCCTTTTGCCTCCCTCTCCCTTTTTCAAAGACCTGTAATCTCTTCAGAATGATCTAGAATTGAGTTACCTTATGTCCTCTCGTACCATGGCACTGACAGAGTGTTTGTTTATTGTTAAATGTTCTGGGCTGAATGCTCTGAAGGAGTAAAATGGGTATTGCTGTATTAACTTGAATACTTCTTCACTGCTTGAAGTCTAGCTCTGTTTAAGAGTGTGGCTTCTTAATAATTTAGAAAGTTTTCTAAAAATTAGCTTTAAAATGTCAAACAGTATAAGGTTTTAAAACCTTGTTGGATGTATGTGCCTTGGCTTCCCTTTGACAAAACTTAATTCTTCATGAAATTTCCTATTTAAAACTTCAGCAAACAGGCAGATTTCAAAGCAGTGCTGCTTCTAGGTGTATTATGTTGCAAGAAATGTGAACATCTTCCCATGAAATTAACAGAGTTATGAAATAGACTGTTTTCTTGGGCAGCATTTTGTAATCTATAATGCGTCTTCATGCAAAATGGAGGAGCTAAATTCCCAAGGGCCCTGATGCTGTTTCCAGTCAGGGACCTGGGTGGGTGGCAGAGGGAAGCACTTCACAGCTGCCCTCTTTCTACCCTTCTCCATCCACCATTCTGGACTGATGGGGTTCTGGTTTTGCTCTTGAGAGCTTGTTGTTGCTGTACAAGGATAATCACTGTGACTGTTAGCTAATGACAGACACGAAGATGCAAGGAAAACAAAACCGTGTGTGGTGAGGAAAAATTTTCTGTAGGATGGAGCATTGTCATTTTTTAATTTAAAAAATTTTAAAAACCCTGTAGCTATTCCTAACAGACTGTTTAGGGAAGGAGAGTGAAAATTCTTATCTATGAGTTTTGGAAATAGATTGATCCGGGTTTATTTTAGCTTCCTAGCAAGCAGAGCAGCTGATCATGCATTCTGAGGCTCTCTGTGAGTTTCAGTTGTGTCTTACTATTTCATAAATGTGAGAGAGCTCACTTCTTAAGGTAAAGGACTCAGATGCAGTAGTATTAATATTACAGAAGAAATTTTTACTAATTCGAAATGTTACTTGCAACCTACTTGCATGTAGGTTGCTCATTTGAGAAAGTTACTCCTTGTTGACTTGTGCTTGTAAGTTTGGTTGCTCTGTATTGTGTTTGATTGTGTTAAATTATACCCAGTCTGTCAGGCTACGGTTCCACTGTAGCCCTGTGACAAAGTCTGTATGGGTTTCATAGGTAAAGAAGCACAAGAAACAGGCAATTGAAGTTCTAGTAACAAGATATCCTCAATTTGTTCGAGAAAAGCTTGGTGGAAGTAATTCATGTATATATATTTTATAAGCTGAAATTGCTGTTTATTTAAGTTTAAATACAGATTCGCTGGTGTTTGTTTTGTTTCACACATGTACACTTACGTGATGTGTGTGGGTTTATTATATCATCCTGTATCTGACTTGAAAGCAGCCATCTGATTTTCTGTAGGCTGAGCACTGGTATCTTTTGGTAAGTGGCCAAACAAGGTAGATGACTGTGGTAACTAAGTGTACTTCCTTTGGCTTTCTCCTCTTTTCCCTGTATTTTAGTGTGGCATGGCAGCACTAGAAGAATTAATATCAAAACTTCCCTGGCTTCAACTGTCATTTCTGTAAGACCCCTTACCAGGGGTCTGATAAGGAAAGAGCTTTTGTGGGAATGTCTTTTTGTATTAGATTAAAATATACAATAAGCTGTTTGTTGCAGCCTTGTTGTATTAAAATAGCCCCTTTTGATTACAGTTGCTTATGACAGTATCTCCCTGGCTTCCATTTTCAATTGCACATCTCACTCTTTGGCCTCTGGTTTTTTAATTTGTTTTGGGTTTTTTTTAGTTCCTAACGTTTGTTTAGTATAACTTCTCAGCATTGTAACTGTCTGCAAAAACTGCATTATATGGAATCCTTGTGAGACTGACAGCAGGCTCTGACTTACTGGAATGCCCTGTCCTTCTTGAGGAAGCTCATGGGGCTGGCCAGTCATTTCAAGATGAAGACAGATATCCTTTTTATTATGGGCAAGGCTGGTATAGATATTTGAAAAAAAAGAAGCAATGTATACCCCTAAAGCATACATTTTCTTTTATATTTTTATTATATTAAATCTCTTGCTTGACATCTAAAGGAAATTTTGCATAGCTGGGGGAGGAGGAGGGAAGGACAGGAATTCATTTCCCCACTGAGTTTATCACTAATGAATTGGGACTGTCTTGGAAGTCTCCCATTTCTACTTAGTCTGTTGTCTGTGCAATCCTGATTGCATAGTGATTAATACTGCTCTGTAA